AATCCATCTGTGAGAAGACTCATTATGGATTGCTTATGCTGAATGTGATGTGACTTTTGTGATAACGTGTCCAGCTGTTCAAAAAAAAAAAATGCTTCTTAAAGCATTTCATCTGTGTTTGAAGGTTTAAAGTTAAACAAATTGCACTAAGTAAGATTTTTGTTCTTCCATGTATGGTTGTATTTATCTTTACTAACTGAACCACTGCTTCCCACAATTGGAAATGCAGATTAATGTTTGTTTTCTGAGAATATTTACCTTCTGAAAACTTAGAATTATCACAGTACCTCAGTCCATTCTTTTTTTCTTAAGTCCTTTACGTCTGCTTTTCTGTGTGTGTGGAAATCATTTGACTCTTGTTTTATGTATTCCAATTCACTCCCCTTCGGTGCACCTCCCCATCATGATATCAGTGTGCTGTATGCTAAGGGCCTTTGCCCTTTCATCTGTGCGCTATGTGTAGTGCAGGAAGAAATTTGTGTAGAATGTCAGTGGAATGTATTTCATTTGTCTTTTACCCACAGCTGGTATATGAGGTAGCACTAACGAACTGAAGCATGACCTCATCCTTGTGCACATTTCCAGAGGAAGTGGCTGGGCTCCCAGCACTGCTTTGGGCTGGCATGGATCCTCCTCTGACCTGTGGTGAGCGTGCTCACTCTGCTCTCCCATGGGCAGCTTGGCTCTCTGGAAGCCTGCTGAAGTCAGGGGAGGAAGGAGTATGAGCTCGTCCTTTTTTGCTGGTCTCAGCAGGCTCCTTTCTGAACATGCTTTGGAGCTTATTGCATCCTTCCTGAAGCAGCTCCAACGTTAATTTGGCAATCTGGCTTTTTTCCTTCCACTTCAGGATTACTTTTCTGTTTAAATGAGTCAAATAACTTACAGCAGGATTGTATGGGCATCTGTATTGTCACAGTGTCTTGTTTGGCTGGTGCTGACAGAAGCAAGGAGGCTAAGGAGCACCAAGGGATCTCTGCTGTTAATGATGCTGCAGGATTGGCTTGTTCATCCTTTCAGCAAGTATATTAGCTAAGTTAAATTGACAAAATGCTGATGCTACAAATGAAATTACATTGTGGTGGTTTAAGTGTCTTGACTAGGTCACTCTGGGATCAGACAAATGGCAGCACCCCTGTAAGAAGAACAGCACATCCCAGAAATGGAGAAAAAAAGGAGTGCCTCCAAGTAGCAGCCTACGCTTGAAATGATTCAGCTGTATTATGAAACCATACTCTGGGCAAAAAAGGTTGAAAAAGGATCCAGGTGTTTAATTCTGACTTAAAGAATAATTCTGGGCATTTGCTAGAAGACCTGTGCTGGTCTTTTTTGCAGTTTTCAAAGCCATCTGAAATTGAGGAGGTCCCTAAAAGGAGTAGTGTAGGTGGCCTCTCTAAGTATGCAGTAGAATGTTATGTTCATGAATCTGTGTAAAGCAGAATAAGAAGTACTTGATAATGCATTATTCTAGTTTGGATATGTCTCTGCAACATCTTTTCATCAGTCTCTGTGCTACCACACCTAAAGATGCTTTTCCTCCTGCTGGTGTAGACCAGCACTGTAGTAGAGGCTGTTGAAGCAGACCCTTCCCACCCACCTTCACTGGCATGTAAAATGTGCCCTGTGGCTCCAAAGCCAACAGTTGTCTTGAATCGATGTCTAGGATAAATAGAATTTGACTTTTATTTGTAAATAAAATTACAACTCTGCATGCTTTGTATTTATAAAATACAATGTATGTTTTTGGCTGCTGAATTGTAAAACGATAATTGTACAATTGCTGCTGTAAGGTGCTGGAACATATTTGTTGTTAGCATGGAAATGTCTGTACACTAAGGCTAACATGGTTGGATTTTAATATTAAACTATTAGTCTATGTAAAGCATGGGTTGCTAGCCTTTCTGTGAATTTAAGACTTACCTGCACTACTTTCTCTGGACTTCTCTAGTCTTTCTTTCCATGGTATTTATTGCACTGATTGGAATGTTATAGATCTTAATCTGTGTATAAGGATACCTGCTTTTGGAGATGTTTTAGTGCAAGGCATTTATAGAAAGTAATGAAAATATGGTGATCTCAGCTTCTTTCCCTCTCTGCTGCCAAAAGAAGCAGGACCATCTTCTTTCTCATTTGTCCTCTTTCAAGCAGAGAGAGATGTTACTCTGTAGCAGATCCTGAAGTCCACTAATCCCTGTGAGATGACTCAGTTGACCAAGAAAACTGACTGGAGGACATGTGTAAGAATTCAAAATTACAGACAGAGAAAAGAGTCTCTTTCCAAAGTAATGAGCTGCTGGGGCATCTCAACTGCTTGTGCAACTACAGCCTCCAAGGGATGTCTTCAGTCCTTTCCGGGTCTTGTTAGTGCTGCTTTGTAATTTCAAAGTATCTGTTGCAAACTTGTGGTGAAGAACAATGTTCTTGCAGCTATTAAGGAGAATTAATTAAGTAAAGTAGCTGCTGAGGAAAGGTTAAAATGAGTGAATAAAATGTTTTGTTTTTCTACTACTTTTAATAACCATAGTGACCCAGCAGTCTGCTTCAGCAAGCTTTTTTCTATTTGCTGGAATACTCACCCCACCTGAATGGCAGGGGAGGCAAGGTTTAGTAGGCTAACTTGATATAGATTGCCAAAGATTTATCATGTAGTAATGCTGGGCAGTGATAATGCATTGAACTGAATTTTTGCCTTTTGAAGTATTTATACTTCTGAGGGAAGACATCTAGATTGTAAATAAGTTTCTACAGATTTTGCAGATGCTCCTTAGACAATATAGGACAGTTGAACCACAACTCATAGCTCCACTGTGCATCATTCTGCTCTTCTTTCCCAACTTATTCCCAGCACCAGGCTGCTTAGATGAAATGTCAGTGCTTTGTCTCCTGATGATTGCAGGCTGATGTATTTAACACATTTCAGTGTGAAGATGTTTGTAGATAACTTGGCTACTGTTCTTTCACACATGGGACCTCCAGGTGCCTTTAAATAGCACTCTAAATAGTTTTTATTGTTTTCTTGATGTAGTGGTTCTTTCTTGCAGCTTACTACATTAGGCAGTGATAGGGAAAAAAATAATCAATTAAGCAAGAGCATCTGAATAGTCTGGGTTAAGTTCAGTGCAAAATAATGCATAATATGAACCTTGAAGATTCCTATTCCTTAATTCTTAACTGTCTTGCTTTCTCAGTGCTGATGAAAATCACTATGATGACAACACCCATCTGAGAGAACTGAACCACCATAAGGACAAGTTCAGATTCAAAAATATTGCTTCACTATCTGCTATTACATCTTACATTTACAATGTAGACTCCACATGTTCTGTAGTGTGTGACTTCACTTAGAATATATATGTTAAAAACATTAATGTTAACTTAGCCTGATGTTTTGACTTCCCTGTTAAATGTTAGCCCTGATATTGTAACGTATTTCTCACAGTGGTTGCTCTGTTTCTCTGGTGAAGATAAATTTCCAGCTGTTACTCCTTTATTCTTGCTCAGGTTACACTAATCTGCAAATAGCCTTTACCAGTGTAAAATGATGTGGCTTACTGTTAAGTTCTCTCTTGCTCCATGGAGTCTAACAGGGTGCTGCCTTACCTTAGTGTCAAGATACATATAGCTCCCAAGATGGCATTTTAAGGTACCATGCTAGAGTCGGTCTTAGCATACTGAGGCATACTCTTTCAGGATTCTTGGTCTGTGATACCTTATAGCTGATTAGATCCTGATAATGCTACATGTCTCATTTGCAAATTTTTGTAAGGCGTCCCTCACACCATGTGTAGGCTCTTCCTTGTGTAATTCAACCACCTGCCTAATCCTATATGTCAGCATGGCTTGTAACACAATGCCTAGCGAGATTCTGCCGTTTTATCACTCGCTGCTTGTTAGCTATCACAGTCCTGTTGCACGTTTTCATCTGTTTCTTCTTATCTCTTTCCATTCACTCTTTCCTTCTTTTCAAGGATTTTCTCAATATACAAATCCTATGTGCACTGCTACAACGCATTTAAAAATGATTGTTTATTTGCGTTGTCTACTTTTTTTCTGCCTTCCCCCCTTCATTGTTCAGAGTAGCATTATTGGTGCTCCCTTAACACCCTTGTTTCCTGCTGTGTTGATGTCCAAATTGGCAATGAGGTCTTTGTGATAGCTCTCAGAACTACTAAACAGTTTCTTCATTTTGGTCTGACAGCTCCTTGACCATTAATTGTTTGTCAGGACAATTTTAGTTTACCTCTACAGTGGCTTTGTTTTGATGGCAGCATGAGGACATCATCTTTGTCTTTCTGTCTTATGGTTATGCTCCTGCAAATAGTGCTGTGCTTCTGGTGTCCAGCTGCAAACCTCACTTAAAGAGGTGTGCTGGGGAGACAGATGAAATGACATGTGTGAGCGTGTCATTGTCTTGTTTCAACAAAATGCTGTAGAGAGCTACTGGAATCTCTTCTGTTACTAGAGTAACTAGATTAGTAACTTTACTTTCTAAGGTACATTCTCAGTTGACCTTCATCCCTTCCTCAAAGATGTTTAACTGTTGATTTTTACTAATCCCTATTTCTCCCTTTGTACTTTCAGCTTGCTTTAAGTTTTGCATACATTGATGTAGGAAAAATAACCTTACCTTTTTATTTACAGGAAGCTGTTTTCTGATTATCCTGTTATAATAATGATTTTTAACACTGTGTAGGAAGGCAGAAAAGTTTGTCCTATGTAGACTGAAGAAAGTGATACTTTTATTGTTTAAAATAGATCATGTTTGGAATTTTATCTGAAGTATGTAAGAAGTTGAATAAGATTGAATTGAATTTATCTTATCTAATGTGACGCATTCTTTGACGTGCTGTCAACAGGTCTGAAAGCAGCTGTTATTCCTACAACTGAAACAATTCTTGATCACAGTTTTAAATTTTGAGTTTCTTATTTTTAACTGTATTTTAAATGGAGTTCTTTAGCATATTTTTGTTTCATATACAGTGGTATGTTATTTCTTCTTGCAGGCGCCTCCACCTAAATAAGAAAGCCACAGATAAACAGCCATATAGCAAGCTTCCTGGTGTTTCACTTTTAAAGCCATTGAAAGGTGTGGATCCTAACCTGATCAACAACTTAGAAACCTTCTTTGAACTGGATTATCCCAAAGTATGTATACTATTTACAATCTTTGCTTCTTTGCCTCTGAAAATCCAATCAGTGGTTTGTGCTAGAACTACTCATCTTGATTGTATAGCAAATTGTTCTTTCTTCCACAACAAATGCATGATTACTTTTTCTGTATGTTCCAGACAATATTTATTCCTCTTCAAAAAACTGCTTATAAAGGAACATGACCAAGACTTGAAGACAAAGCATACTCTAGATTTCACTAAGATATGTTTAATCGTTACTCCAGTACTTTCTTGTTTATAGGAGTACAGTCTTTAAAAGATAATTGCCTTTTGAGAGACCAGACACGCTTCATAATTAGGTATTTTTCTGTAACAGATTTTGTGAAAAAAGCCTGAAACTTACTGGTGGTTCTTACTGACATGCTTTATAGCAAAATGTGGCTCAGTGAAGTACCGCCTCCAAGGCACTTAATCGTATCTGGAAAACAAATAGTTAAGAAAAGCTTATGTTTGCTCTTGAATGCTGTTTGATTTTGTAATATGAGTGATAAGTAAGGTAAGTGATAAGTGTCAGATGCTGTCCTTGTGTTAAGGACCTTAAAGGGGAAAGACTTGTTGCGTCATTCACCTTGTGGTGTATGGTACTGTGGGTGGAATATAGTCCTTCCTACCACATATATTTTGAGTTCAGACTCTTGATATAAAAACTTTCTGCTTCAGTTCTTCTCAGAATTGCTTTGGACAATGCTGTTTCCTTTGTAAAAGGACAAAAGCACATGTGAACTCTGTGGTGGGTTTTCTTTGTGTATTCTATTTAGAGTAACTTCAAAGCTCTGTCAGGTAGGGTTTAAAAAACAAACCCAACCAAAACCCTTGCAGTTGACTACAAATTAGATTGTTCTTCTCTAGTAGTGTTTGAGGCCTTTCAAACCTTGAGGCATGCAGATTTGAATCATTCTGAGTCCCCAGAAAGTACAATAAATATTAAGAATAGCAAGAAAAAAAAATTAAAGGCAGCAAGATCTCAAGCTGTTTTATAGTTATAATCTCAATATTTGACTACAAATACTATTGTTCTTACCTACTATACATTTTGAAATTTTGTCAGAAACATCCCCATTTGTGTTACATTTAAATTTAACCCAATTCTAATCTTTGTACAGATAAATGTCTTTCCTCTGCACTATTCACGTATGTTGTTCTTTCGTTCATTATTGCATACAAAGGCTGAATAGTATTTTTCTGCTGAAATGTTTTCATGTCAAAGTTTTCTGTTACTCATTCAAAATTCAATTACTCATTAAATTTTTTCAGAATGGATATATAAATGTTATTCCAACTGTGGATTGAAGATTTTATGGGTTACTAGCAAAAAATAATTGTTTCACATATTTAACTGGATCAACAATAAAGCACTAATCTCTTCAGTTGTTAATTTCCATGATATTCATAATGTAAGGGTCACTTCTGTAATAGCTGAAAGATCTTTTACTTTTTAAATTCCATTTTCTTTATAATAATGATTGGAATCAGACACTGCTCACTCTTCAGGCTAATTGCTTTATGCTTGCACTGAGAGACGTAGCTGCTCTTGTCTGGTAGTCTGTAGTGTTGGAGCAAGTCCTACAAGTACAATTAAGAAGTTAAGTTTCCACAACTGAATCAACTTGCTCTTGCTGGGTTTTTGTATCACAGTGCCTCTTTTCCACTTGAAATGATGTATTTATTCAACTTATTTCATCCTGTACTGGATGACATTACTTGTTCCTCATAAAGAAAATGAGAACTCATCATTGAGCTTATAGGCAGACAGCTTTTGATGTTGAGAATAATTTTTTCTTGTATAGTTCCTGGAAAATGAAGTTTGGCTAGGTGTCACTGCAGTGTGATGGAGAATAGAGTATCTGTTTTGCTCGTTAAGTACAGCTTTTATTATTCCTTTATCAAATGGGATTAAATCATTTCTCATGAGGCTGGCTGTTTAACTTTTTGCCTGTAAGGATGACTTTGAGGTATTTTCATCAGAAATTTACATTTTCTGAATTGTATTCTTAGAATAGGTGTGCTGTTGACTTGTAATGCTTCACAATTTGAGCAGGGAGATGGGAAGGTTATGTCAAAAGTACTCAGGGAGTCCATTACTAATGAAGAAACAAATACCTCTTTCAAAACTTGCAGTCTCGAAACATTAAGTTGTGTGTGATTCTTAAAACGCTGCTTTTTCACCCAGTGTTTGTAGCTCATTTAGTAGCTGTGTAGGTTGACTGCTGAAACAGGTACAGTTTCTTACTACTTACTAGGTTTTCTAACCTTTGTTCTGGAGAGGGGAAAATGTACATTATGATGTATGTTCCTGCACTTAGCTTTATTGTATGATGACGTGTACCTTTATTGGTCTCAAAGGGCTGTCATCCTGCTGTGTTCTGCATTATGCATCTACAAAATGAAGAAATGGAATCTGTAGTCAGGTGTACAATAGTTTGTGTTAACGTGATCTGGAGTTTTGTTAAAGAGATGAGAAGAATCTGGTTTGTGTCAGTTTCATTTATAAGTCTCTTGCTTGTTTTACCATCCAAGTATTCAGAGTATTACAGACTGTTGGTAAAGATCAAATTCTAGCATAGTTCTGGCACACAGTGCTTTGGAAGCTAATATATGTTGACTGAAAGATGAGATCTATAATCCTAAAAGTACTGTGGGTTATGTTCTGCCATGGAAGCGAAAACTTTCACACTTGTAGCACCTTCCTTTAATATTTAATGTATATAGTTGTATAAATTATAAACTTCAGATTCATATGTGAACAGAAATGGAAGCAGAGTTAGGGTGAAATGGAAACAGGAACAGAAACTTTAGCTTCTTTGTGTAATGTTCTGTTTTGTGCCTAATAGAATTCTTCCCAATAACAGGAAAATGAATGTTCCTTGCTACAGTACTTTACAGGGACATGGAATTGTTTTCTTTTTAGCAAGTACTTCTGGTGCATTAGGTGTTATTTAGCTGTAAAACAACCCCCTTTTATTTTTAATGCTATAGCAGTGCTTTTCATCTTTTTTCGGTTTGCTATGCTGTGAAGCTTTATTCCCTAGGTTATATTGATATTAAATATGTGCATCTGTTTTTCCCCACTAGTATGAAGTACTACTTTGTGTACAAGATCATGATGATCCAGCTATTGATGTCTGCAAAAAGCTCCTTGGAAAATACCCGAATGTTGATGCTAGACTGTTTATAGGTAAGCAGTGTATCACTGGAGTGGGACTTCAACTTATAAAAAAATTTTTGGCTTTCAGCTCTTTAATAGTCTTCTGAAAGACATAGTTGTCTTGTTCTTCCAGTGTGACTTAATCCTGTATTTGAGCAGAGTATAGAACTAGATTTGTATTCATAATTTGTCACCTCATTTTAAAAGCAAACAAAAACAACAAACTCTAGGAAAAATCATTATTCAACCTCTGCACCCTTTTTGTGCTAAGTCTGGAATTCAACAGTTTGAATCTTGTTTCTACACTATACTAAATATGCTTAAAGTGACTTAAAGTTCTGGCTGTATTTGAGCTTGAGGTGTTAAAATAATCTTTTTTCATCAACTTAGAGACTGTAAGCCAGTTTCTTACTAATTGTTTGTACTGAAGGAGGAAAGGGATGGGAAAGGATAATTAGAACTAAATGACATATAATAAGCAGAATCATATCTGTTAGGAGCAAGAAGTTGTATCACTGTATTCTGCTCCACTCCCTCTTTTGCTTAGGTTATCCTAGGGTGTAACAATCATAATCAGGACTCCTAAGAAGAAGCAGTAGGCAATATTTACTTCATAGAATGTAGTAAAAAGCTTTGTAATTCTGCTCTCAGTTATTAACCTACCATATTGAGGAAGCATTTGAATAATTTTCCTTTTTAATTCTCTACTAAACTGTAGTAAAATACAAAAACAGAAATAAAGGAATGTGTAAAATTTAAATGCTTCTCATAAAGTGGACTTGTAGAATTGAAAGGTAAAAATGTACTGATTTTCCAGCAAGATTTTTTTGCAGATAGATTAAAAAAATCTTAAAAAAAAAAAAAAAAAAACCCAACAAAACAGCCCCAAAACAAATAAACGAAGAAAAACCACACAAAAAAGCCCCCATGCATTTTGAATATGATGCTTGTGGTTTGTTTTTTTTTTTTTAGGTGGTAAGAAGGTTGGCATCAACCCCAAGATTAACAATTTAATGCCTGGCTATGAAGTTGCCAAATATGATCTGATATGGATTTGTGATAGTGGAATCAGAGGTAGGTGGTATTGTAATGTGCTGATGTCTTATTGCCCTTACTCCATGTAGGTTAGCAGTTGTAGAAGATTATTTTAACTGAAATAGAAATGAAGTCTGGAGAATTCTTTCACAGAATAAAAATTTTCAACCTTTAAGGATGTCGGTCTTATTTTTGATACTGTTCTTATTTTATTTGCTGATCATAAAATAGTAATAATGATTAAAATTATACTGATAGTTTATTGCCCCTAAGTGGCGTGCACTAAGCTGTACCTGCTGTTGACAATAACATGAAAATCACAGTACTGTTATACAATAGCCTTCTGCTAATGATGGAATTGCTCAATGAACTGTCATTTTCTCATTTCTTGCTTAGTTACACCAGACACTCTGACAGATATGGCCAACCAAATGACTGAGAAAGTAGGATTGGTCCATGGTCTTCCCTATGTTGCTGACAGACAAGGATTTGCTGCCACCCTGGAACAGGTCAGTGCAGTATGTGTGCGTGTATGTATGTATTTAATACATATGACTAAAAGTTGTATAGTGCCTCTTGCATTTTTGAGTGAAAGGAGGTTTCTTTTAATTTTAGCAGCAGTTACACTTTAGACTGTCTAGGGTAACTTGTAAATGTTTGGAAATTCCACGTTGCTCCAGACATCAGTTCAAATCTTGTTGCTATATAGAGTACAGGATGAAAATACAGGATTTTATTTTAATAAATACTGGGACTTTAGTAAAAAAAGCTATGAACTCTGTTGACCTTTAACTAGGAAAACAAAAATCACTGTAAGTTAGAGAAGAGTCCTGCTCACATCAGTATCTTATTTCCAGAGGTTATAAGCAGAACCTTTGGGAACAGGACCTAATCAAGGTGTATGTTTTTATTTTCCCTTGATATTCTCTCAGCTTTCCAGTATTTTCAGCTGAGATGCACCCTGTGCAGGAAGTACTCTTTTCTTATACAAACTTTTACATTTTTTACTTGAATCTGTGTAAATCTCCAACATCTTGTCTGTCTGTATCCGGAAGTTCTATAGATCTATATTACAAGCACCACAGCCTTCTTAAATCTGAACCTTGCTCTTCTGTAGGGCTATTTTATGTCTCCTAGTGCTTGGTTAGAAAGAGAAGGTGAAGAGTTGATTACTGTCCATCTTCATATCACTTAATGTTATCTGTCCTTTTCTTCAGTCTCTCCATTCTCAGTAAGTTATTCTCAGTGGAATGAGGAGATTGAGTTTTGTCTGTTCCTCGTATCTGAAGGCTAATAATTTCTTTTTACTCTAATCTGGCATAAATAAGGCATTTTGGTCCTATTCTAATAGTCAAAGGCAAAAATGTGAGGAAAAAGTGCAGAGAAATTCAGTAGAGAGAGGCTACCGTGAGTGAATTTTTTTTTTTTAAACAAAGTCTGAATTGATTTTCTTAAAAGAGGAGAGCAGGAAGCTATAACGCAACTCTTATTGCTGCTTGCTAAATAGCATTCTAATTACTGTTTCTGTGCTCCTGGAAAAACTTCTTGCTTCTAGTTCCAGTGTACCACAAGGTTACCATGCCTTCTGTTGAATAAGCTGATGTATTAGTAAGACCATCCATAGGATGAATAGCACTAAGATGCTAGTGCGCAGCCTTGGCTATCTTCTTCTTGGAAGCTGCTGGCTTTATGTTACTGGATCTTGTATTTTTAAAACTCTTCCAGTCTGAAGTGACTTGGCTATTTCATCTTGCTGGTGCATTAAACAAAAATTCTTTGCTTCTTTACTGCTGTGTAGTAAGCTTCTATAAAGTTGTATGCACTGCTTTAGTTAAGAGGAATGAGACAGTATGTCTGTTAGCTGTAAGTGAATAATATATTATTTGAGTCATTAGTAGTTTGAGTTTTACTATGTGTGTTACCTGAGAACAGCCTAAATTAGAAATTTAGTATCAAATAAAATATGGCAGTTAAATATAAAAATTCAAGCTGTGTATTAAATCCATAGAAGGAGTCCATATCTATTAGATTTCTCAGATTTAGTGTTAAGTTAGACTTCTTACTTGGATGGTAAAGAACTTCCCAAATATAGGTTCGTTATTGGCTATGTTTACAATACATTCTCCTTCAAATACATACAGATGAGAGAGTTGTCAGTAGTAATGGCATAACTACATGTAGAGCTTAAAAGCCTTATCTTGTTTTTTGCAGGTTTATTTTGGAACTTCACATCCAAGGTCATATATTTCAGCCAATTTAACTGGCTTTAAGTGTGTAACAGGAATGTCATGCTTGATGAGGAAGGATGTCTTGGACCAAGCAGGGGGATTGATAGCTTTTGCACAGTATATTGCTGAAGATTATTTTATGGCCAAAGCTATAGCTGACCGGTAAGAGCACTGAAGCAAGCTTTTGTTTGAAATAAGTTTGTAACTATTTGTACGTGTTACATGCTATATAATTAGGCAGTCAGGTCAAGCCCACATCAGCTGCTTTAGAATAGTGTTTCAGAGAACATTAGATATATTGTTCAGGAGATACTTACTATCTTCAAATCAAGAGATTTGGTAAAAGCAAACTTAATTTTTTTTTGCTCTTATGCATTGTAATAATATAACATATATACTAAAGCAAATATCAAAGCTTAATAAAGTTCTTAAAATGTTTGTTCTATAGCTGTTCTTTGCATTTCTTATTTGCATGCTTTTCATAATACACATTTATTTTTCAGAGGGTGGAAATTTGCAATGGCCACACAAGTTGCAATGCAAAACTCTGGCTCATATTCTATTTCTCAATTTCAATCCAGAATGATCAGGTAAAACTTTAAATCTTGCTTCCTCTCCCTTCCATTCCTGTCACCTGTCTCTGATGTGGTTAACCCGAAAATGCAGTGAATACTTCTCTCAAACTAATTTGTTAGTAATGTCAGGAATGATATAGTTTCAGTGCATGGCTAGAGGTGCTGACTTTCCAAGGAAGTGAGACTCATGCATGAGTAGTTTGTTTTTTTTTTAAGACTAAAAACCTAAAAAGAAAAAAATGCAACAAAAAAAACTGGTTACCTTTTAAATGTTTTACATAGTGTTTTTGAAAGGGTGATTTTTTTTTTTTGCCATGTTTAATTTGGAAGTGTAAATTAAACAAGATTGATGGCTCATCACCTGATGAGTTTAGGGAAGAAGTCCTAAGAAATTACATGTAGTCTGAACTGTTTTGTTTTTTTCCTAGATGGGCCAAACTGCGAATTAATATGTTACCTGCCACAATAATATGTGAGCCAATTTCAGAGTGCTTTGTTGCCAGTCTGGTTATTGGTTGGGCAGCTCATCATGTGTTCAGATGGGATATAATGGTGTTTTTTATGTGTCACTGCTTGGCGTGGTTTATATTTGACTACATTCAACTAAGAGGTGTTCAGGTATGTCACGTTTCTTCTCAGAGGCTATGAAAGCTGCTAGTGTCAACTTCTTGAACAAACAGATAAATGTGATTTCAGTGACAAGATACTTCTCTTGATATCATCAAGGAAGTTCTAGGTCAAATCCTGTTACCTCTGCCCACCTGTTAACTTCACTTAGAGTAGCGTGAAAGGTATGCTTGGTTGTGATCTTATTTTCTTTGTGCACTCGCCTCGAACTAGCCTCTGCAAGTTGAATTCTGTCTCCCTTTCACATTTTTGTATTTGTATTTCTAGTCTGCTATATTTAGGCATGTCCAGAACTCTTAAGTTTTTTTAAAAAAAGTACAAGAACAGCAGCTCTGGGATTTTAGTTGTTTTTGATATCTTTAATTGTTCTACTGTCTTTTGTATCTTGAAGCTTATGTGTACAGTTTATGTACACTTAAACATATTTCTTCTGTGTTTTGATACTGGATATAATCTAATTTCAAAAATAAAACATCCTCGTCACTGGAAGAAGGGGGATTCTTCAGTAAGACTTTCAATATAGAAAGATAGCATAAGTCAGAAAAATACATGCTTTTCTAGTTCTTCAGGCTACTCTGTCTACTGTGACCCTATTCCATCTAAATCTGATCCACAGTTACTTATGTGTACAAATTATGAACTAATTCTCATCTTACTGAAAAACATTCTCTTTGTAGTTTTAAGAATTTCTAGAAGGAAAGGCTAGTTCTACCGATAAGTTAGAACACTGGTTTAACAGTTGTTTCTCTGATTACTGTAATTGCTGCATGATATGTACATGGTGCAGTAAAAACTTTGTACCTGTTCTTCCTCTTCTGAAGCCTCTTCAGTTTGCAGCTCTGCATATAGCTGGTAAATCTTAAAGGAACAGTTAATTCAGGAGGGCTGTCTGTAAATGTTTTTTAGGCTCTTTTTCCTATGCAGTGAGCCAAAAGCTTGGTTCTTCTAATTTCACTCCCTTGAGAATGTGTGGTGGCCTACTCTCTAGGTGCTGCTATTGTGGGGTCTGTGGCATAAACTTAGTGCCTGCTTTCAACACAGTTTTACAAAGCTTCAAAAGAAAATAAATTGATATTGTGACTCTTTGTCTTTTGCTTTGCATATAAGTCACTTTTCAAACCTTCTGTGTCATTCTACCAAGTATCTCATATGATTACCTATGTTCATAGGTAATCATATCTTGGATGAGAAAAACTACTTGGCTTCTAAATAATAGAATATGCTTTTGATAATATCAAACTGTATATTAAGCATTAGAACAGATTTATCTGTAATACAAATGTTTTACATTACTTCAAAACTCCTTTGAAATGGTTAGTATGCTTAAATATCTGTTTTTTGTATTCCTAGGGTGGTGCTTTATGTTTTTCTAAACTTGATTATGCAGTCGCTTGGTTCATCAGAGAATCCATGACAATTTATATTTTCCTCTCTGCTTTGTGGGACCCTACTATTAGCTGGAGGACAGGACGCTACAGATTGCGTTGCGGAGGCACTGCAGAAGAAATCCTTGATGTATAGCCACAGCTTTGCAACTGTGACTGTCAAAAAGAGAAAGGGGGATCGAAAGTATTATAAATTGTTTATAAAAAATACTTCTAAGAAAACTAAGAAAATCTACCTTCAGTAGTTTTATTACTTGTATGTTTTGGTACCTGTTCTTTAATTTATTTTTTGCATGGCACTTGCATATCTGTGAAAATATCTGTAGTCTTGGCCAAATGGTATTTTGCTCCTATGTACAAATAGAAATGGAGAGAGTTGGTTCTGATACATATCTGCTATATGAAAACTCTGCAGTAAACTTTTTTTTTTAAGAAAAAAGTATCCTTCTGGATATAAATGGCTTCTTACTCCATGGTATGCTGGCCTAGCAAAGCCAGTGGTCATATAGTTATTGTCCAGCTGGATTGCACAAGGCTGTACCTAATAATATCACATAAAAAAAAAAGTACATCTGATTTCTATTATATTCCACTAAATTGAGCTAGTAACAGGACCTTGGGAAAGAAGCTCTTAAACGCTTTATGCCTACCTCTTGTAGTTGCTGCAGAACAAAATGAATGGAAAGTAAAAATGCTTAGCAAAAACAAACTAAAATAAAGCTGGAGTCCTGTGTTTATATGTATATATGAAATACTTTAGTTGTTGCAATGAACCAAAAGTGGACTGCGTTTGATAGGGTGAGGCATTACTGGTCAGTCACATATTGTGAGCGTCTTTGGCCAACTCTCATCTGGTTCGGTCTTGAACCTTGTTAAGCACTGTGCTGTAACTAGCCTAGCTGGCCCCCTTCATTGTTTCCATCCTTTTTAAGGGGTGTTTGGCTTTTTTTTTGTGTGAGTGCTTTGACTGGGGGTGGTGGGGTGGGGGGTGTTTGCGTGGGACTCAGTAAAGGAGAGAAGGGAGTGGAAATACATTTCAGAAACATTTCACACAAGCTGTTTTCTTAAAACAATGTATTAAGAATGTAACTTCATGATGCAGGTATTTAAAATCTTTTTAAAGTGAACATATGTATCCACAGTAGTCAAAATTGAGTATTAAATTGCAGTAAATATTGTGAATATATTAAAGGTTTGGGTGAATTTGCTGTAACTAAAATTATAATCTTAATTTAAACATCAAACTAAGTCTACTCTTGGCTTTTTGCCTTCTACTATTAGTCTAGCCTTTAAATTGGACTTTGTATTCCAGTGGTATGACTAAAAGGACTAGATTATAATGCATGCCGTGTTTTCTGACCCTGTCCCTGTAGCTTGGTTTCCAACCTTATTGTGAGACTTTCCAATTTGTGGTGAACTGGACTTGTTTTCGTTAAACATCTTTAATTAAAAAAAAAAAGCAAGCAAAAAAAAAACCAACAAAAAAACAGCAAAGCTAGAGAGGGATGTTGCATAAGCCTTTTGTTTTCATAATTGTATTTATGCTGCTTTACTTCAGGTGAAATGGAATATTGTCACCATGAATGTGAGCTGCTGATTACAAGGCTCATGCCAACAAAGCAGCTCTAGAAGTTGAATTACGTGTAGCATATTAGCAATAATGATAATGTATTTATAAAAATGGACACTTACTTTACTGAGCCAATCCCTTAGCTGTCATATGCTACACACCAGCATTGCGTGTGTACATATTAAACATACTCTGGGCCAAAATGCTTCATCCATCCTAATGTTTCTTTTGCCTTATTATAACATGGAACTTTTTAATGGGCATTTCTGTATGAACAAAGGCTTTTGATTCCGTGCTTCATTCTTTTCATGTGAATCAGGAATAAGTTTTTCCTGAGGAGAGTTGCACACTGAAAGCTAGTCTAGTTGTGACCCACGAAAACATAGTTTTTAAGAGTTTTTACATAATAGAATTTTGCTGACAATGTTTATATCTTTGTTTCATGAAGTTTAATGCCATTCATTGCACTGCTGAAGTGAAGCATAGCTTGCAACTTAGCTTTATGCTGATTTCTATGCAGGCAGTGGAACAGAAAACCAAAAAAAGGCTGAAAAGACTTCATTTACAAGATGTTAAGTGGGGATAATTGTTTAACCGGGTGCTTTTGTATTAGCAGAACCATCTTTGGTCAAGAAAACTGAAGCTTCACTTAAGCAAATAGTTTTCTTTTGGGGTATTGTCTGGTTGATTGAAATTGAAACCAACACTGTTGAATGTTGAAGATGCTACAACAAAACTTTCAAAATTAAAAATGGCTAATGTAAAGTTGTGTTGTTCTACAGGTATGTAGAATATACCATGTTTATTTAAAGTCATTGTTTTTCTTTTATTTAAAAATAAATTTTGAATATAATGTTTGGAATACAGTTTTTTGCCTTCTCTTTAAAGTGTTTGCCTTTGATTTAAAGTGTTTTATGGCAGCTTTGGATTTGATTTTTGAATCATCTGCGCTGCACTAAATGAGTCTTTAGGGGTAAATTAACTCGTGTGTGCCTAAACCTTTTGAGCTATCCTGTCTGTTGAAACAAGTCAGCCTATGTTAAGACTTAATAGAGAGGTTTCTTTGCTCTAAAATGTATAGGAGTTGAGTAGTGTTTTCACTTTGATTTGAGGTACTGCCGGTGAGAAAAGCATTCTTTCTGGCTTGTCTTTCTCTTATCTCTTCCTTGATACTTTCTCCAGTAGAAGTTTTCATGTACACTTTGGCAAGAGACTGTGTGTGCAACAGAGCTGCTGGAGCCTGGGGGGAAGGTTGAAACGACCACCACTGCAATCACTTGAAAACTGCCTACAGAAGCATAAATATTCCTGAATGTATTTTTGCTCATTGCAGTTGCAGCCAAAGATCACATTGCTTAAACCTTGTTTCTGAGTCCTTCTAGTATTTTTTTTCCCTGTTCAGTAATGCTTTGTACTCCATGCTTTCAAACGAAATGTTTCCCACTTGAATTCCTTCCATTGCTGTTTTTCTGTCCTGTGATACATACACTACTTCACTTCCTGTTTTGTGAGCTGGAACAGTTGATGCCTGCTTCTAGCCAGCTGCTTTCACGCCCGACTTCTGAAAGCTGTTTTATTCATCGTAAAGACCTCTTACTCCTCACGCAATTATTTTCTTATCCTCTGCTTTCAGGTATGCCTGTGCTCTAGGCATTCTTGGGTTACTCTGGTCTCCCAAGGTGCATGAAGTGTTATATGGCAATAAACTTACAGTAGTGCAAAGTGACTTGAGCTTGAATAAATACTCTCTAGGCTTGGCCAAGAAATGAAGACTCTTAGAGAAGAGGATGGTAATGTACAGAATAACAGTTAACCCATCTTTTGGGTCTGAGGATGTCTCAGTGTAAGTTTTTGTAGACTCTCACGGGACGAGTGTGACAAATTGTATATTCAGAGTGAATGTTTAAGCTTAAGGGTGTTTTCTGAGCACTTGATTAAAAAATAAGCTCAGTTACAGGACTGCTTAACAACAGTAAATGTTGTTGCACGTTTAAGCAAGTGAAGAGCTTCCCCTTGAAAGGTCATTTCTGCATTTGCTGTACATGAATGTTGGCTTTGTAGGAGGCAGGTGTGACCTGAGTGTCGTATAACTGCTGTAACTGCGGTGCGTTCTCCAGGAGGAACTAACAAAACACCTCGTCCAAACTCCAGTGATTTTTTGCATATCCTGGAGGTCACTGGTACTTCTAAGCTGGGCTCTTCTATGCTGCACAAACGCTTACCTTGCCAGCTGTCAGCACAGGAAACTGAGAAGAAAGTGAAAAGTCCTTTAGTTCAGTTTCCCATATTCTGCTTTCAATGCCTGCTTACTGCTTCTCAGGGTTGGACCCTTCCAGTAAGGCAGCAGCAGGGCTGCAGGCTGTCAGTCACTGCCACGTGTGTTACAATTCTGGTTACTTGTTTCATGTGGAAAGTTACTGTTGTGGCTACATTGCAAATCGTTGCTACAAATGTTTGTGTAGCTGTTCTTGGCAGCTGGCTCTTAGAAATCCCACCTGTCTTCAAATCCAAACCCGTCCATCTTGTGGATAATACGGGTTTGTCAGCATTCAGCTATAACCTCTTGCAAGGTTGCTTCCCATGTGTTTCCTTTCCAAAAGCAGATTAGAGGCTCTAGTGTTTTTCTAGCTGTGCTGAAGCCCTGCAGTCTATATATAGGAAGCAGCTTGCCTAATTGTAGGCTGTTCAATGGAAAAGATGTTTGTGATGCTGGTTTTTGTGCTGAAGTTAAAATCTACTTATCCTTGTAAACTGAGAGACAAGAGGTGGGAGAAAAGAATATTTCTAGACTTCTCTAGCATGGCTTTTGTATTACTATATTTCTAAAATTCTCATGGGATCAAGAGTGGGCTGCTACTTATGTATGGTTGGTGCTTCTGGGGAGAAGCATTTGTCATTTTGCTCTTAGCTCTGAGTATTTTTGCCTAAACATGGGTGTGACTGCAGAGGGTCAGTGAAAAGCTGCAAACCAGGCAGCCTGCTGGGGAAGTCCATGGGTTGCTGCTTGTTACTATGCCTTTCCTCCACACACACACAGTCCCAGCCCACCTCTGTTGCTGACAGGAAGGAAGGGCCTTAGCCAAGCCCATGTGCCAGCTGGAATTAAAGCCACTTTGCATGCAGCCAACTTTTGGGTAAATGAGAGAGGTCAGGCTTCTGCTCGTGTGGCTGTGCAGGAAGCCAGTGAGCTCACTGGAAGCATGAAACAGGAGCTGTCAGAAGAAATCTCGTCACCAGACTTTGACATGAAGAGAGTTATTGTTCTTGACTTGAGTTTTACATCCTCTGGGCCTGTTAAACTTGGGTCTGCTGACAGGACTGCAGTGTGCTCAATGAGTCTCGAGTTTTGCAAGCCTTCCCTTTCCCCTGCCTCATTGTACTGTGAGTAGATTTTACTCTTCTAAGGCTTGCTTGTTGCCTGATATTTGTTCATATTCAGCAGGAATTTGCTCCTGATAGCAATGTCTGCTTTCTTTCTGTCCCAGAATGTGGCTGGAGATGTTGAGGCAGGATCAGACCCATACAGTTCCCATGTGAAGCACAGTAACATTTAGCAGTGATCCCCAGCCCTGTGGAAATGAGAAAATGTGGAGAAACTATGAAGGTTTTTGTGGTTTCTTTTAAGTATAGATAATCTGTTTTTTTATATATATATATATATATATATATATATATATATATATGCACTTATATATACATAAATTTACAAGATAAAGGAGCACTGTAAAACAAACAAAAAAACAACAAAACTACAAAAAACCCACAACCAAACAACAACAACAACAACAAAAAAAAAACAACAAAAACTTCTCCAGAAGCCTTGCAGTTGTGTAAACACACAAAACCTGATTCTGTGGGCAGGTGAGACAGGTAAAAGGTTATTTAATTAAAAAGTCAGTGGATTAAAATTGAGTAATCCTGAGCTCTGGGCCTCATATCCAGTTCCACTTGGTCTCTAAAACTGGTTCCAGCACAATGCCATCCTTTTATTGTTGTGGATTTTTCACTCCTATTTTTAACCAATGTTTTCTTCTTTCCTTTGGGTCCATGACTCCCCTGCTGAGGTAGAATCCAGGCTACTTTCTTTGCTGGTAGTGTCCCAAATTCTGAGCAAAGCAAGGCACACAGTTTGGATCCTGCCTCCTTTCTGTTCAGCTTTGCTGGTTAATGCTCTGCCCTTCTGGGAAAACTGTTGTCTCTGAAGGTGTTTATAGAAAGGACACACATGTGGGAGAAGGAGAAAAAGCAGTATGAAGTTCATTGCAGTTTTCTCCCTAGGTTCATCTACACCTAATGATGGTGAGTGACAGATTACAGGTAGATCTACGTGATTTCCCAATGTGTTGTGTATGAGGAAGAATATCAGAGAAGTGAGATGTTAGGAATGTGTTTCAAGTTTAGAAGCTGAGACCTCTGAAATGTTCAAGGCATCTCAGCTAAGCCAGTTCCCCCTTGAATTATGTGAGGCTTTCAGCAAGACCTGACTTACAGCTGTATCGTCTGGCTGGAGGCCTGGAGCTGGCAGGGCTGCTGCCCACCCTGCAGCTGAGCAGCCAGATAGGAGAGCTGCCAACTCTTGTCTCTGGGTTGTGGATAGGACAAGGGGGAGGCAATTTTAAACAAAAAGAAAAGAGGGTTAGGTGAGATGTCAGAAAAAAATCCTTCACTTGGAGAGTGGTGAGGCCTGGTACAGGCTGCCTGGAACTATGGCTGCTCCATCTCTGGAGGCATTCAAGGCCTGGCTGTATGGGTCCCTGTTCTAACCTGACCTGCTGAGTGGCAGGGGATCCCATTTGGCTGAAGCAGGCAGGGGGCAGATGTTAGAGGTTGTCCTGTGTGAGTGCGATCTGTCTAATCCCTATCGTATGATCCAGGAAGCTTTTTTACTTTCATGTACCACAGTAGCACAATCTTAAACACCGGCATTAATTCTGGCATCCTCCTGCAATCATTTATGCAGAGCTATGTAGCACGTGGTCGAGGATGACTGTGTCTGAATATAAAGTGTGTTGTCTGCATGCAGCCTGACACAAACAATGATCTCATCACAGCACATCAGCGGTGTGCTAGCCCTGATAGCAGTGAGCAGGCACTGGTAGCTAAGGATGGACCGCGGGCAGCCAGAATGAGACTGCACAGTATCTCTGTGCTTTGCTCTTGTAAGCAGCAGGTGGTGGCCAGAAAGACAATTTCATTTTGCTTAAAGCCATCATGGAAATGAGTGCGAGAGGTGAAATTTGGCATTTCCAGCCCTCTGTTCTGTGGTAAATGGAGAAGCTGGTACATTTCTGCCTCAGGTAGTTTGTTGCTGTTGAACAGTAGGCTCATTTGCTATTAATGTGTAAAATAACAAGACCAAGACCCAGATGAAGAAAGATTCCACTCACACATGAGATGATGGCTGCTTTAAGCAGACTTTGTGCTGCACAGCCCAAGCCCAGCAGCAGAGCTGTACCTGACCATCTGCCTACTGTGTTGTTTGAAGTGCTTGCAGTTTTTCCAGGAGAAATTGTCCTTCGGGTAACCGTGGTGTGGATGCTGAAAGCTGGCTGGCAGAACCACAGAGGCCAATTTGCTCCTCCACGAAGTTCAACCATTTTGCACTGCCTTAGAAGAATTTCCTGGTGTTTCCTCAAACATAAACACAGATTACATCCTAAAGGAACCTATCTTACAACTGAAAGAGGCCTTTTGGCTAATCCTTTTCCTCCACCTCTGCGACACTGTAGCTTTCATCTCTAAAAGCAGTTGTAGAATCAGTCAATCTAACACCCGCAGTGTCTCACTGCTGTTTCTACCCCCTTCCCTCATCAGCGTGGCTGTGAATTGCTTTGAGCTTCTTGCTCCCTGGAAGGATAATGG